AATACCTTTGTTCTTTCGTCTTTCCCTACAGCAGTTACATGGGAACAACATTCACTTTACAGATGGATACGAGATCAAGGAGGACATAGGGATCGGCTCCTATTCAGTGTGCAAGAGATGTGTTCATAAAGCTACAGAAACAGAGTTTGCAGTGAAGGTAAGAAAGCCGCCTGGTGGATGCCAGAAATGTGGTTGAGACTGCTCTGCAAGCCTGGGCAGCAGTGCAGTCTATGGATATTTTGTTGGCTTATTTCTTGTTGGCAGGTGCTGCTTGGGTTTGTTTTTTTCTTTTGGAAGATGACAGGTTTCATGATAAGCCTTATATTATTTCTCACACCTTATTCTCATGAAGTAAAATTCCAGGATGGAAAAAGCCTTTACAGTCTTGCATGGAAATCCTGCTAATCATTTCAGCCATGCTCCTTGCAAACTAGATAAGATTTTTAATAGATTCTACATTGAATCATCATAAATAAACAAAATAATATATAAAATGATTGCAAAGTTGAAATAGCATTTTATTCTTCTTTCTCAAGTTATTTAGTTCTGACATTTTTTAATTGTAATTAGACAGATTTGTCAATGAAAACCACGATCACCTTCAAAAACTCACATTTCCTTTTGTCTCCTTGACTTTCAACACCAAAATGCTGCGCAAAGGAGCAAAAGACAATCTTCAGCAGAGATTTAAAATATTAATTCAGTGGAATTTAGCTGGATATTAAAGACAAGTCAGTGAACTTCAGACTTGGTCAAGCAACACTATGTAAAACAGAGTCACCGCAGCCACAGAGGCCAGAAAGCTGCTAGGAAGTAGGTATGAGGGAACTTTTTCTGATAGGGAAGAACTTCAGAACTGCCTTGGAAGGTCACGCTCAGAGGACTGTCACAATCTCTATTGAACGCTATTGAATAAAGAGTATGCAGCTATTACAGAGGTCAGAACAGAGCAATGTATGTGGCAAGTGGTTGTGAGGTTACGGCTCAGAGGAAGAGTTCCAGGCATTCAATTTTCTTTAAGAAAAAGGCATAGCGACTGAAAAAATCATATGATAGGAAAGTATTTCATGTTTTTGTTCTTGTACCAAAAAGAGACAAGATTGGATTAAACAAGGAATTAGTATAATGAATTTGAAAAGACACAGACAGTTAAATCAGATCCTTCTGTTCTGTATGATCTCATGGGAACAGATTGCTTAAATGAGCATAAGACAAAAAGTAGCTCCTTGAAATCAGTACATAGAGAAATGTATTTATGAAACTTGCAGTAAACAAGGGATTCTAGCCAATTGCCTCTCCACTTTTCTTATTTTAAAATTTTAGAAAATATATGTAAACTTAGCTTATAAATGAGATCGAATCTTTGCTATTAAATGAGATGATGAGAGCTTAAAGAAGTGATCCAAACTGCAGCCCGTGAGATAAATGAGCTGCAGGTAGTCAATAGAATGATATTAAACCTTTTATTCAGTCTCATTTTCCATTACAAGACTGATGATAACGCAGTATTCATGAAAGTCCATTAAGTTTTGGTGTCTCCCTGTGGTGGCCGCAAAAATCTGGAAACCACTAATAACTGACAATCTGTTGATGTCACTGCTCAAATAATGGTTGATTTTTCTAGACTACACCATAATTAGGAGCATGGAAGTACCAGCAGGTCCGTGGGCTTGCACATGAACGTGCTAGGATTTTCATTTCTAATGAATGGAAAAGATTAGATTTTTCCAGGGTCCAGGTCATTTGTCAACAGATGGCATTATGTTATAGTAGGTATGTGTAATTAAATTACATCTGTGATGAACATAATGTATGTTAAATTAAAGTAATAACTTTAATATTGTATTTATATCAAGTATTGCTGATAGTTTTATCAGTGTAATACAGCCAGCATGAAACCAAAATAGAAAGACCTCTGTCCTCAAAGACGTCTGACTGCCTGAACCCAAGAGGGTCCAGCACGCACTCAGCAGGTGGGGGTTTGGAGCACCTCAGAGGATCCAGAGCAAACTCAACACGTGGAGACACACAAAACTCCAGAAGAGTTTAACACTTTGATTGCTAGGTTTATGCTCTTTCCCATTTTTATTAATCTTCCCTCTTTTTATTCCTTTCTTCCTCCACTTCTTATGACTCTTTTCTTGCCATGCCAATATGTCTTGATTTTGACTACCAGTTTAAGCAACGTGCGCAGCATCTGGTTCTGACACCATGCGAGTCAAATGTGTAACACAGATCTGGGGTTGGAGACGGTTGGTGGGTTTCTGTTTGTACTGTCTTTCCAGCACGTTGAGTACTGCCTCTTTGATTACTGTTCCTACCAATATATTCATTTCACTTTCCTTTCTATTTTACTTCTATTTCATATTAAGATTATATCATTTTGTTGTCAAAGTATCTCGCATTCATAATGATTGCACAATGCCACCCATGTCAAGTAATTAGATAGCACAGAAGATGCAACTGATATTATCATAATTATATATCAGTCCCTTTTGACATGCATCCTTCAACTCTCTCTATAAAAATCACTGTAATTAGACTCTTTTTATTTCTTTCAGTAAGTATAATTTTCTCAGTGCTCCCAAGTACATAATATTCACAGGAAAATATATCTGCAGTGATAGTTTGTATGATAGGCAGCAGCCCCATTTGCCTTGCACCACCTCATTAAAAGCTCCCTCTTTTACATGAACTGCCGACACATCAGAGAGCATCATCCCGTCTCCCTAGGGGAAGCTGGTGATAGTGAAGGAGTTAAGGAAATGACGTGGTGGCATCACTGCGGGAAGACACACATCATGTCACGGGGTAAATAATCCCTCCATGGAGTCTGCCGCTCACCAGGCCTTATTTACTATTGCTGTGTAGTGCCATACTGAGACACAGCATACCGAGCCAGAGCAACTTGAGTCAGAGCCACAGCCGGAAAATCCACTCAGAAAAACAAAACCTTTCTTAGCCCAGAAGCAGAATATTTTTATTAAAACACAAAACATTTCATCCCTTTTCCCTTTTCTGGCCATCTGCAGCTAATGGGGGGTCATCTTATAGAGATAATTAGATGTCTAGCAGTGCAAAGGAGCTCTTTGCTGGTGTTGTAAAAACACTTGAACAGATTGGAGTTTCACTTATTTCAGAGTTCAGTGAGACTAGGCACGTCACTCACTGAGGTGCTTTTGGAAGTCCCCCTAGACACCTCTCGGCACCTGTAGGTGTCTGCCTGTCTTTGTAAATCCAATCACTGAACCTGCAGAAGAAGAGAATTTTCTTGCAACCTATTCCCTCTTCTTCCATGTAACCTGTAAAAATGAAATGCTAATAATAAATTCTAAACCTATTTTAGACGCACCCTCAGGCTCCCAAATGCAATATTTAAGAATTCAGACTTATATCTCCACTTCTGAGAGCATTTCAATACCATGCAACAGAAAACCTTGTAGACAGCCAGATTTCCTGCAAACTGAGTCTACTCTGAAACTAGTAGCCACCTGCCTGGGTCAGTGCAGGTAGATGCTGGTTTAGCAAGCCTTTGTATCATATTCTACTGCATGTACATACTCAGAGGTACTTTTACAATTTTATTCTTAGACTTTCTTTCTGTCTCATTCCCAAGTGAAAAAAATATAAAGTTATGAAATACAAGTAAGTATATTGTTCATTCTTCTGAATGTTTTATAAGACTCTGGTAGAAAGAAGAGAGATGGGGAAAAAGAGTGTTTCTCCTCTGATGGACCTCTAATGTGTTTCAGATTCTTCTGCTAGAATATTGATCATCCTGACTACTGCAGGCATAATGATTTTTAATAGCAAAGGGAACTGGCATTGTCGAACACAGTTACAAGCTTCATGTGGGTATAAATGTAACAGTGAGGTCAGAAGCAAAGGAAAATCAGATCAAACTGTTTCAGTCACATCAGTACCTAGAGAAAATAAGTCAATTAAGTAAAAGAATGATGCTAGAGCAGGTGGAAGGGATTTCTGTGGATGGAAGAAAGTCTGCAATGGAAGCCTAAATAGATTAAGAGCTCTCATTTGGAAAACAAAGAAAATGTTACAGTTCAGAGTTCTTGGTGAATCAGATGTTTCAAAACCTGCCAAAGATTTGATGCAATTAGCATATTCCAAAAGTTTTTCTTTACTTGAAACCATTGCACTGGTTTCAAGCTTGGATCCCTACTTGTAGTGAAGCTTTCAAGCTGGATTTTCAGATGTGCTTCTTACTGATGCCAGATCAAGTAAGTTTGCAAAGGACCTGATTGCATCCCCCTTTTTCTAAAGTTTTCTCTATTTAGATTGACTCCTCCCCCCCAGGAGAGATTACTGGCTGATAATAGCCAAGTAGAAACTGCTGCTGCTACGGCCTATTCTACCCCCAGTATGGTAACTGCCCCAAACATTGCAGAGGCAGGTGCCAGCTTCAACAGCTTGATGCTAACTGTTTTCTTCTCCAGGTCAAAAGAATATCTAACTGGTTAAGTCTTATAGATTTTTAGTCCTTTCATGCTGTTAGAGCCAGGGTGAACATCTGGGTAAAAGGACAGGGTATACATTTCTCCCTCCCATGAATAAGAAAAACATCCAGTAGAGATAGTCCCAAATGGGAAGTCCAATTTTGCAGATGCCAATATTACAGTGGAATTTGGATCTCAAAACACATGTGAATTTCATGACTTTTTTCCTATCTCTGCAATGTACTAACCATTTGGCTCCAAATGTGCCACAGCTGTGAGTAGAGCCAAATTTTGCAGTCTATGTCTGTCTCTGGGATACAGGTTAGTTTGTTCTAGAGTCCTAGTAAGTTCTACAGTTCATATATAATTCTGGTAATTACGAAGCACTGAAAGTACATCTATCTTGGAATGTTTTGGTATGTGCAGACTGGGGAGAAGGTGCATTTTAATTAGCTGTAGAAGTGCAATACCAGTGGAGAAGTGGTGTCAACATGTTATCAATAAGTAGAAGTCAGTAACTCGTGAGAGCTGTTTTTAGCAGGTCTGTGTAACCAGACTTGCTATATACCTCTATTTATTTGCTAATAACACTGAGTGACATAGCCACCAAAAGCTGTATGAATTCCAGAGTTGTTTCATAATTTCTTTAAACTTCATTTTCCTCTTCCATTGATGTTCACAGTCTTGGTTTGGTTGGTTTTAG